AAATGGGATTACTATGATTAGCCTGAATCAATTACAGTTCAATCCGGAGGCCTCATACTACCCAAACAAAAGGAGACTTTACTGTTTGCTAAACAATGAAGGACCACAACCAACCAAAAAGGATGCATTTATCCCTCAAACATACCCCTAATTCCACTTTTAGCAGTTTAGTTCATTGACCAGAGACATACAGCAAAGTAGGGTGAGATCAAAGTATAAAAAAATTGATAAAATATTAGCCTTGAATAACTGAAGCTTTAATAACAGACTGAAAGAGTTTCATTCTCACTTTTAGCATAATTCTAAGGGAGTTACAGTTAAAGACTTCATTACTGAATGTTAGAGACTTACCATTTCTTTTCATTTAGTGACCTTTAACATTTATTAAATGACTTTCGTTAGATTAACTGAACAAGTTCTCAAAAAGAAAACATGGAATTGTAGAGAAGTGTCTAAATGTTAATTTTGAAAGCCCATAAATAATTTTTATGTCATCTCTGCAAAGATATTTCATTATTAAATGTAACCAGTTCACTGTCACTGAGGAAAGGCTCCTTCTTACTAGAATGTCATCAACCATTATTCAGCATTTCATACAGATATTTTTCAACCACTTATCAGTCTACCTGTGTCATCACTCCATCATTGTATCATTGAAGGCTTCACTTCAACACAGCTCTACCATTTCCCATTCCACAATTATATCCAAAAAGTTTATTCTGAATAAATTTTTCCCAAGTAATCATGTACTGAATTCCTGGAATCAGTTTTTCCTCTCCCAGGTTCTTCCTAACAGTTTGTTGGAGAACTGGCCCATGGTGTTGCCTGGAGTAGACTCTCCAGTCAATAGTTCACAGATGGTTTCCTTTTGGAAGAGCAGCCCATCTGCCCTCCTTCGCTGCTCTGGTGTATTTTAACTGCTTCCAAATGTATAACTCTGAGGCACAACCACCACCAAATGTAGAAAAGCAAAACTCCTAAGAGAAATTGGGTAGCAAATCCCAGATAAGAAGATATGACCTCAAATGCCCGTGTCCCCAGTAGCATCTTATCTGATGCTCATTCAGCCACCTCCCTCCTTGTTTTCATCTCAAACGGTTTTCACTGTGCTTAGTTCTGGGCGATGATGGTAAACCACACACTAATCCCACAATCCCCACCAACTTTCCCTCTTGTGCTCCCTGACTTCAGCTCTGACAGCTCCTGTGTCTTGCTCCAATTCCTGGCTTCCCCTCATTTTCTGTGCTCAAAACTCTCTGATTTCCTCTGTGCTACAAACAAAACAAAAACCACCCTCCAAAATGTCATCCTCCTGTATCACCATTCCTGCTAGTGCTGTGGACAATGACATCACAACTGTTCGTTTAACTTCATAAAACTTCCATTCTTAAATCCTTCAGTCTTCCTCTAATTAAGCCTAGAATTCCTTTCTTGGCAGGATCAGACTTGAAGATATTTTAATGGGGGCAGTCAAGAGCTGTTAAAGGCTGAGTGGTTAAAAGCACAGAGGCTGGAGCCAGAGGCTGCCTTGGAGTCCTGCTTCAACCAGTTACTAGCTGTGTAGCTTTAGGTAAGTCATTTAGTCTCTCTCCGTTGGTTTCTGTTTTATGCAAAATGAGATAAAATACAGAATCTACTCATAGAGATATTATAAAGAATTAGTATTTGTGAAGTGCTTAGAAACTATCTGGCACATAGGGAGCACTATTTAGTGTATGTTAAATACATTTCTGAAGGGAAAAAGGAGATAACTTTAAAATACTACAGAGCCAAAAGAATCTGAGTTAGTAAAGCCAGGTTTGGGAGATGCTAGAATGGTATTTTCTGTTATGGAAGGGAAAATTTGATCCCCTTAAAATAGTGTCAGGCCCTGAGGAGAAGCAAAGGTTGTCATGGTTGGGCAGAGTGAAGACTGGATTCGGGGAACAAAGCCCCAGAGGTCTCATGTGGACTCAGGGCAGCCACATCAGGAGAAACTGACCCAAAGCAGTCAGAAATCAAACCCAAATATAAGAGGGCAAAGAAGGTAGAAATGGATCATTTCTGATGAAGCACTCTTCTAGACAGCACCTGGGCAACCAATGCATCTTTTCAAATGGTTTACATGATCATTCTGTTTTCAGTTACAACTTATGTAAAATCAAACTGTAAATATTTCTCTTAACCAGGTCTGACCCCTGGAAGAGAGAAAGGTGAGTGTTAACAGGAGCAATGACAACAACTAACACATAATTTATGCTAAATCGTGTTCCTGAATTTGGCTGTTTAAAATATGCATATTGACTTAGGCATATGTTAGCAAAGTGAATTTTATCACTCGTTTTAAGTACAAAAGAGAATATGAACTGTGTCACTTTCTGATTCCTTGAATTATCCCAAGGAATATTTTGAAACTGTTAAAAATGTAAACTGCTATTCATTGACATTAGTAGTCATCTCACCACTCAGCACTAACAAGGGTCTGGGTCTCTGTGCTGATCTTCATGTCTGTGAATTTTAGGAGCCACTGTGCCCTATCTTTTCCCCAGTGGAGTGTAGGTTTTCTACTGATGTCTAATTATCTTTTCAGCCATCTTCTTTGAGAGGAACAATGCACCTTTGGTTTTTCTAACAGACCATTCAAATAATAATCTTTTTTAGAATTAATGACATTTTCTTTGTTAGTCTCTAGCTTTAAGTACAACTATTTGAATATATATTCAGAAAAAGTCATCCCAGGCTTCAAGGGCCTGAGTGCCTATTGAGGTCGTTCATAAATGTCAGAGCAAGATCTCCCAACATAACCTCAACCCTGCTTTGGGAATGGTTATGATGAAAACTCTTCTGACTAAATTAGGAATTTGTATTTATTTGACAGACACTGGTTCCAATTGCTCTCAAGTGTCCTTCTTAGTAAGCACAAATTAGTTAAACAAGGAAACTTTATCCAGATCCCATGAGTAAGGGGATTTGGGACTGAACCACCGAGAACCCAAAATGATTTCTTGGGTTATGTTGCGTATTTTTTATAAAATGAATCCATTTGTTTAATAACTGACAAAAAATAATCAAAAAGATCAAATAAGAAGCATAGGTGTTGCTGGCAAATGTGACAAATCCTGCAACTCTAAACTATTCATGATAATGAAGTAGTAAGTAGCTACTCTAACATACATGTTATTAACACCTCTCTGAGATTCTTTGATACGCACAAGATGTTGTCATACTAAACTTTCTTGTTAGTTAGCTCTCCCTGCTACCTATATGCTAAGCGTGGCTTACTCAAGCTAATTTTGCAAGGTGTTTCTGTTGTAAGCATCGAATACATAGTTTTTGCCCATGTGAAACCAGAAAGAAGAAATACAAATATGAAATAGCCAGAGAAACGTAAAGCAGTGCAGCTACAGGCTCAGTGTCCACACAATGCCCGCAAGACCTGCCCGACGTTTATGTCTCCCTCACCAGACTCAAACAAACGTGGGCTCAGAGGTAATCTTTCAGAGCTTATTTTATTTTTATTTCCCCTCTCTTTCAATGATAATTCCTGTTTTTTATTATAGGAAGAATTTGTTCAGTAAAATATAATGCCTTAGATATCTAATAAGAATTTTTAAACTAAGTAACCAATTATTAGACAAAAAGAAAAACCTGCAGAGCAGTTTTCCCTTCTCTTGGTACGATTCAAGGAATCAAGGAAGCTTCTGTTGACAGCCTGGGGCCACGGGCATTATTGCACCAACAAAGCAGCAGCTATGTCACAGTCCCAGTCCCACTTCCACTGGTCACGTTTGTCATTTGTTAATTTAGTCTAATCCCCTGGATACATATGCAAAACAATAGAAACTCAAGGGTACAACTATCTTGGATGATTCTAACCTCTTGGTGGGGAGGTGGGGGGGCAAGTGGTAACTTATAGAATTAGAAATAATTCTTCACATTTTACTATTTCAAATACATGTCTCAATACCAATGTCCTACCTAGTGATTCCTTTCTAGTTGATATTCAAAAATAGATTTTATATTCTACCCATACCCTCTGTGGGAAGGGGAAGAATAGTGTCTCCTAAGTTGCTAAAATGTATCCTATGCTTTATCATCTCTTACTGAGAAGGTAAGTATTGAAATGTTGCTTGTTTACAAATTGCAAAATCCATGAAAATCAAAGAAAAATGTCCATAACTTGAATTTCAAATAACAATTCTGTCTTGGTGAGCTTAAATCTAGCCTAGCTCCTGGTAATTGCAAAATGCTTACTAATCTGCATAATAGAACTGTCACTTAAAGCTCAATACAAAACACAAAATCGCAGCAAGTGCCAGTTTAGAATGGAGAAAATGTTAAAGGTACATATTATCAATGAACTTTCTCCTAACAAAGACAATCATCACAAAACATAGGATGGTTCACAGAATGTAAAAATCTTTATACAGAAGGGAGAACAGAAGCAAACAAAATCTATTTGTCAAGGCCACCTCGTGAAAACAATCTAAGATACTTAAAAAGCCTAAACCCATTCAAAGAACATCTTCCCTAACATCAGGTAGGAGCCTCCAGCTTAGTGTGGCCTCCTCCACAGAGACTGTTCCATACCACAGAAACGGCCTCATTATTTTCGACATGGACAGCACACTGTCCTCCTGAGGGTGGCTGTATTTCTGGCACTCAAGCTTCCAAATGCCAGGCTAACGGCTTGGCCAGTGGAACGGGTCACTGAAATTGAACCCAACTCCTACCTGATACTTACTACCTTAGATAATTCTTTCTGCCAAGTGAAGCCAAGATAGGAATAAAAATAGCTCCCTTTTTTTTTTAAAAAAAAAAGTGATTTATATATTCTGCTCATCTGCTTCTTAATGACTCTGAACCATTCAATTTGAATTGCAAACCACAGGAAATGTTGCCATGCTTTTTTTTTTTTTTTAAGGCAGATCATACCTTGTGCTCTCGCATAATCATTATAACAATAATTAGTCATTTGAAATCAAGCACGTATTCTAGTTGTTTAAGGAGAATTTTATTCAATGTCAATTTACATAATGTTAGAGACAAAACGACAATGATTATGAAGTATAAAGTAATTTAATTCAAGCCTCTACTATGATGTAGACATTAAAAAATGCTTTCAAAGCCTGGTATCCAAAATCTACTCAGAAAATTGTAATCATATGTTTGATCACTCACAGTGCCTTACAATTTTTGATTAAAAGTAGCTTGTCTCTATAAAATGGATTCCACATTTTTAGTGGCTCACATGACAAAAGAAAAAACAATTACAGAGAACATCAAGATGAAACCAAGTTCAGAGGCTAATTGTAGGACATGTGAGCACAGGTTCCTGTGACTTATTACTTCAGTCTGTGCCCCTCAAACTTGAACTCTATGCCAACAGTCCAGCGACAGACCCTGAAGTAACTCCAAAATTGTTAATTCTGCATGTTTTATATTAAGCATTTATAAGAATTTTCAACTCTACCTTTTTCTAAATCTGAGAAAATTCCTTAAATCTTCAGGTAAAATAGTTTCTCCCAGAGATGCTCTCTGTTTTGTGCTGTGGCTTCTCACATGGGCTGTGGTCCACAGCAAGGTGACCTCCCAGTTGGAGGAACACAGCTAATCAATGTCAGGAGCTTGCTGGCTGTTTTCGAAAGAATTGTTTTTTTGCTCTGACAAGTTTTCTTTTTCAGTAAAATATTATATACCAGTAACACCAAGGAAAGCTGTTCATAAGAGCAGCAGCCCACAGAAAAAGAATCCTAAGGAAAGATTAATGCATGTGTTTATCCAGAATATTTGAGCATGGGGCTCAGCTGTGCCCTACTTTCCGGCCGGGGTCTCACCTTTATCTGTCTCACCTGGTTGTGACCAATGGGCTCCCTTGGCCAGTGCCTGCCTGACATGCAGTCCAGATGGAGAATGGAACCTCAATCTTACAACTTCCACTTAAATATGAGAGTGGAATCAACCCTGAGGGTTTCGTTATAAGCAGGGTCTAACTCTGCTCACCCTGTCCATGCACCCAACCCTCAGAAACACAGCACCTCTGAGCTGCTCTGTGTCCACAAACCCAGCAAGAGACTGAAGTTCAAGGCTCTGCATTTAAAGGAATTCTACCCAAAGACTAAACAGGAGTCGCTTTGCATTTTTCTGTTTCTGGTAGCATTAGCCTGGTCCGTCTCCTGACCACTCTAATCCCAGGGCCTGGGGTAGTGGCTGGCACAGAACAGGTGCTGAGGTTCAGAGTGGGGGGAAAGCTCCACCCCCACCACACAGGAAAGCTTGGGGAAGCCACGTGAGTTCTCTGGGCCCCCAAGGGCCATTTTGAGGACTAGATGAAGTCAGATACGATGTTTGACACCTAGTGACCATAATTATGTTTAGCCTCATTAGGATAGCCATAATGGTGCAGGGGGTGTACATAGGACACCAAGCTGGAGACCTTGAACCTGGTCTCCCAGCAGAGTGAGCAAACCCTCTAGTTGTTCCAAGACAGAAGCTTTTCCCTAGATGTGATCTTCCAGGGCTAAAACTGGGACAGTCCCAGGCAAACCACACTGGTTGGCCACTTTCCCATCCAGATAATAGTAATAGTAAGATGGAGGAGACGCTGTGGGTCCAATCATATGAAACTGCTATTTGACATATTTAAACTATCAAAATGGCAAATTTGCATAGCTCCACCTAGTAACTGTCAACTCCAGAAATGGCTGACCCAAGGCCTAACCTCCCGGGTGTTGGCTTCTCCTCTGTGCACCGCTGGCAACCATCAATTCTTTGTGCACCCCAAGCACCGTCATCTGCATTCTCTGGAAGATCTTGAGGATGTACATTCCTGACCTGGTGGTCTATGGTGAGGAAAACTGTAAGATTTATTTCAAAGTATCCTCCTGTTCAGACTCTGCAGGCCTCAGACGTGTTTTTTGGAAGGAAGGATTTTCTCTGAAATTCTCAAGTAAACAAAAGCTGAAGTAGGATTTCCTGAAACAAGAAGTATTTAATCAGTGAAATAGGCAAACCCAACTGGTTCCAGCAGGTTGAGTCAAATGGCTGTTAGCCAAGGTCACTTGTGTAGAAGCTGCCATGTGATTTTAACCATCAACTCACACTGGATTTGGAGACACTAACGCTTCCTGCTCTGGGGTATCTTTTGATGTACGGAAATTTGCTCATATGGATTCGGAAACCCTTGGCCGTCTACAGCACATATATTAATCAAACTGAAGTCCACCGGTTTTAAGTTACAAGGAACCTGGCCAAAAAGCAAACGCACCACCCATTGCAAAGTTCTCTTAGAGCAAAATGAAAAAGGAAGGGAGGTAGGGGCAGCGACTGAATTTGAATTTTCAACTTCTTGTTTTGACTTGATTTAAACAAAGCTGAAGCTTGTGGAGTTCACTTTTTGTGAAATTTAGTTCTTGGCTTCCTTAGAGTAGGAAGGTATTACTGTTGACTTTCAACTGTAAAATGGACTTGAGATTTTCACAACCCACTCCCTGGAGCTTTTAAGTAATAGAAGCACAGCGAGACAAGGAGAAACTGTTTCTTAGGGCAGGACATGATGTGATTCAATACTTCTAGTTATCTCCTGAGCTGTCTGGGGTGTGAGATCAGGAGTCTGAAACCGGCAGAGATTTGTGAAAGTGTGGCCCTGTCTTGGGTTGATAAGCAAAAGACTTTTGATGAGAGTGCAGCCAATTCATCAGTTTTCATTCCCATTTATTAAAAACCAGGGGCAGAGATCTTTAATGTGCAAGAACCAGATGGCTTATCTGTAGCAACTGCATGAAAACGCTACAGTGATTTCCAATTCTTCTCATAAACAGAAAAATCTTTGCTTTGAAGCCAGTGCACAGCCATTTCTACCATTCTCCTTCCTTTCAGAAAATATCATCTTCCCTGCCTCCTCTGCCACTCCCTGGATGTGTCACCTTGGGGAAGTCATTTAACTTCTCTGATTCCAGTCACTTTCCTCAGTTGAAAAATGCATCTATCAACATAGGAGTTGTGTGAAGACTGAATGAACTAATACTTGTGAAATGCTTATAGCAGTGATGGACATAAAGTGAGGTTCCTGGCGAAATAGCCAGGTTATTGTCTTTTCATTCTCAGCTTTCTTCCTGGTTCAGGAATTCTAACCAGTTTTAAAATATGTTTTATTATTTAGGTATGGCAAGGCCAAAAGAACAGGCTGCAACTGCCATTGAGATGATAGCTTGGTATACCCACAGATCCCAAGAGGAGGGGATATGCTTCACTATAGGAGGCCACATGGGGAAGCTCCAGGTCAGCAGGCAGACAGCAGGCAGATGTAGCAAGGGGCAAACATGGACAAGAGCCTTTCTTGTGGTTTCTTCCACAGGGAAAAAAATAGGTGAGGCAGAGTAAGCAGGCTTAAAGTTGGCTATTTTAAATAATTCTAATAGGCTCTGGGGCATAGGGGAGTCCCTAGTTGTCTGTTACCTGGCTCTGGGGTGAGAGGGCAAATGGATAGTGGCCCCTGTGTGAAAGGCTAACAAAGAAGGGTTGGGAGGGTGGGCTCTGGATTGGTGGTTTGCATATGAAAGGAAAACTTGCAGGGGAGTTATCTGTTATCTCTGCAAATTAGCTAACCTTGGGAGAGGCAGTCTCTGCAGTACACAAGATTCCAGGGTGTCAAAGCATGCGTACAGAAAATAAAAGGCACGGTAATACATAAACTCTCCTTCCAAAACTCTGGATACGTGTATATATTTCAGTTCACACTACACTATTTCTAACCTACCTTCACCCAATTCTCAAATGGTTACCTAGGACCCCTTGCAAATATATAGCTTCTGAGACACTTGGAGGCCAGTCCAGGCAAAAGAGATGCTTGGGAAAGTTTGTTGCTTTCTTCTTCCATCTGAAGTCCAGAGGCATCTGTTCAGCCAGGCCACTGCAGCCCTAAGTCTCCTTGAGGTGATATGAGAATCTCAGACAGACCTGGGAGAGGTACACATACAAAAAAGCAGGGAAAAGAAAATCTCAGCAATAGAATCACTTTTCAAGCTATTACTTCCTTACACCTAATGAGATGCTGAGAGTGACTATTCACAATCACTCCTTTCCCTGCTTAGAGTTCAGAACCTGTGGTCGGCAGTTAGACATGAACAGAGCAAGGATGATGGGCCAGGTACAGAAGGTCACCAAGACAGAAAGCCCCTTAAATGGTCCCATTGAGCTTGGCAAACACATTGCAGTTGGATCTGTCCACCACTTCATTTGCCACCCCAGTTGGTCACTGTCACCGAGCACAGGAACAGTTCCATTGAGGCTCTCCTGTCTCTTTTGAAAGAATGGAAATGGCACTGAGCTTGCTGGTAATCTCGAAACCACTTTTTTAAAAAGCACCTACACTGCCACCTTCCTCAGGAGACCAGGAACTTGACTGACCACCTTTCTTCTGCTCCTTGTCACCCACACCAGGCCTAAGCTGAACTTGGGCTCTTTCTCTGCATAGATGTGCCACTATCTTTTGTGCATCTCTCTCTGTTCTCATTTTGCATTCTTGTTGCTTAGCTGTGATTGCGTGTAGAGGGTAGAAAAACCTCAGGTTTATCCCAAGAAGACTGCTCAGCCCCACGTCCATTTTAATGATAGTTGCATGGTTTAATCTCTTCGTTGTGCTGGATGCCATCACAGAGTATAAAAGGCGTGGGTCCTCCGTTCGGCACGTCCCTGAAACATTGTAGGGACATTGCAGTGTGACAGCCTTTCTTAAGAGAGGAATGAAGCTCAGCGATGAGTCATTACAACACTGGAAATATGGGCTGTGTGTGTGGAGAGCCTGAATATTTCACTTGCTGAAAAACAAGTTTCTCCCAGAATTAACACATTCTCTGCCTCATGATAAGATCTCTAAATTTCCTCTGGATTTTCTTTTTTTTCTTTTTAATTTGAGGTTTTGCCTGGCAGTCTAGAAATCGAACATATCCTGGCAGATGATGCCATTTGAAGCACGAATTACTGCTGGGATGTGCAGAGGGGTAAAGCATGCTCCCTAACAGATTCGTCTTCTCCTGCTTCAGAAAAAGTTTCCAAAACTTTGTGGAGCTCACGTGCCTCATGTTTATGGTTTTCATGTTTCCCTTCTCCAGTAGCACAAATAAACTCATCTTAGCAGATAGGTATTAACAGCTCTTAAAAGACAAGTTCTGCTGCTGTGGATCCCAGCTAACCTCTGAGTGTGCTCTGTGTGCCTGGTACTGCACTAAGCCCTTGACGTCCACTGTTTGTTTAATCCTAACTACAACCCTATTGCACAGATGGCGAAACTGAGTAACTGAAAGGTGAAGCACTTGTCTAAGGTGCTTGAGTGAGTGGATGACTCTAGCAGTGGTTCTCAGCCAGGGAAGATTTTACCTGCCAGGTGACATTTGTTAATGTCTGGAGACAACATCCAGTGGAGGGAGTGGGGAAAGGTGTTATTGGCATCTAGTGGGTAGAGGCCTGGAATACTTCTAAACATCTTGCATTGCACAGGATAGTCCCACAACAAAGAGTTACCCAGCTCCAAGTGTTCATAGTGTTGAGGCTGAGAAATCTTATTCTAGCAGTGAAGCAGTTAGTTAACTTCCATGCAGGGAGACAGCAAAGGTGCTTTCTAGACCAGGTCTCCTATCATGATTCTGGGTTACGTGAAAAGAAAAGAAGGAACACATTTTTTTCAGTCTTTAGAATTTGGTCCAGATCTATCTAGGATCTTCTTGGAAGCATTTAGATGTCCTGAGAGACAGCATGACCCCACTCATTAAGTGCCTTCTATATCCCTCAGGTCATCCACCATGGTAGTAAGAACAGGTCCTCAGAGATGGGGACTCCTCCAGTCTGACTCCTTCCTGACTCCAAATCACAGGGGATTGTAGACCTGTTCCCCATCCCCATGCAAACCTTCTCCTTTGTCCCTGTATCCTCTGGCTGAACTAAAATATCCTTGAGAGGTCTGTCAAACCAGATCTTCAGCTTCTTAGTGTGAATTCCTAATCCCCACTCAAAGGAGAGGTCTTTAATACTGGAGAGCTGGGAGTGATGGTGCCAGTGGGAAGTGATTGCACGAAGGAGAGATGACAGCAGTTAGGACACCTTCATCTATTTCATACCTGGAGCCAACCTTGCTCGCCTCACTCCTTTCAAAAGGGAAGAGTGGATTCCCCAAAACCAGCTATACTTGGGTAGCTGTTGAATATTTGTACTGTGTTGATTTTCCTTTCTTTTTCTGATATTTGTTATCCGTGGAAGGAAAAATGAATCTGGAAAGTTAGGTGGACATCTTTTAAGATAAAAAATGCTCATAACACATAAAAAAAAATACACAGAGTCAGTGGAAAACAGTTTACTATCAAGAGGATGTTAGCCCTCTTGGCAACTTGTTTTTGCCTCCATTTCCACCAAAGTGCTTTCAAATCTATCTTCTTAATGAGTAAAACACAACTGGACCTCAGAGAGCAAAGGGGAGAAGAGGGAGAGCCATGCGCTTCTCTGTTGTAGAGAAAGCATTGCTGTGAATGTAATTTCACAGTGTAATTGGCCAAAGTGTGCTGGCCAAACATTCTCCTGAACTATGCAAGAAAATCAACTCTTCTGCACCGTTACTCACTTCCCCAGAAGTCTTATGCTTTGATTAGCCTCAAGCTTGACTGAAGGGACCTGTTCGGGGTGTCCAAGCAGTGCCTACTGCCTGGAGAGGCAGAAACACACAGACCCCTCAACCCAGCCCGCCCCATCTACATCATGACCCCTCCGTTTTCTCAGGGACCCAGGTCTATGTACTCTGCCAGGTCTATGTACTCAGCCTGGATTTACGTTGTAAGGGTCTACATGATGCAGGAGAAAGGTTCGTAGTTAGCAGTCTTGAGTTAGATCCCATCTTTGCCATTGACAGTTGGGGTGAGTGGGCAAGTCAGTTGACAGTTGGGGTGAGTGGGCAAGTCAGTTGAAGTTAAGACTCCATTTTTCCTTCCATACTAGGAGGATTATCACAATACCTGTCTGGGCAACATCGCAGGGTAACTGTGAGGAACAAATGCGACATATGACAAGAAAGGGCTTTGTGAGCTCAAAGGCACAGTTCAGATGTCATCCTCTTACCTACCCGCACATTAAGTTCCTGAGGTCGGAACACCTTTCCTTTCAAGTTCTGGAGCATGGTTGAAGGGCTGGCATACTCCAGGTAAGGGGCAGCCTCTGGTACTTCTGCAGGGGTGGCTAAGAGGAATGACACAGTCTTCCTTTTGTCCAAGTTGTCCTTTTACAACTGAAGGCCAGGTGCTCTTCTCTGTTCTCAGTCAAGAACATCAGGACGAGTCTCCACTCTAAATGCCCATGTCTTCTGTACTAGTGCACGTAGTCAGTTTGGGTGGGAAGGAGAAAGAATCTTTCTCTCTCTCTCCTCTCTCCATCCCTCCCCCTCCAGACACACTCCTGTCCCAGCTGCTGCTCAGATGCAAGCACAACCTCTCCCTACCCCAGGGTGCGCTGTCCCCAGCACAGGGAAAAATCTGGCCAAGGAATTAGTTTGCTGTTGAGAAGTTTGGCTGTACAACTGACTGCTCGGCTGAACAGTGAGAGCCTTGTCATAGAGACAGAATCTGTTTTGCCTCATGGGGAAAAGAGAACTATAGTTATTTTTTTATTATGAGAACTCTAAGCTATGCCAAGTAAATTATTCCAGCAGGGGAATTTTTAAAGCCACATCTCTCTCCCTCCTTGCCTCTCTCCTGTCCTTACTTAGTATCCCCCTCTCTCCTTGTAGCAAGTCTTTTCTCAGCATGAGACTGCCAATACTATTTCCTGGCATAGGAGTTATAACAAGGAATAAAAGACACTTTCTGTTTTATGATGTTTGGGGATTTTTAAAAAAATCAAACTCATCTCAATTTCAAGAGATTTTAATATCCAATTCATCATACAAGATTTCTACTGTTACCAGATCAGCTCCTCAGCAGATCAATAATGGATCTGTCACCCTTTCCATTTCCGCCTGGGAAAATCTCAATGTGAATTTTAGTGATCGTCTGTGTGTCCAAAAGACAAAGAAGTGGTCTACATCAGAGCTAATTCTTTCTCTTATTTTGTGTGCAACTCTTTAACAGAGAACAACTTCAGCAGACAGGGGGCCTTAATGAGACCTGTGACAGGTGAGGCAGTGTCACTGCCTGAGCCTTTAGCCCCCAACCTCATCACTTCTGTGCACTGGTGGCCCTGGGGGATGCCCAGGATTTCTCTTCTTTCCCTAACCAGGTCAGGGAGATGTTGCCGAGAAAGATGAGCAGGTGGTGCACCTACTGGGTGGGAAATGGAAGGATAGGCCAGCCTCCTCTTACTATCCTTTCATGACTGAATGAAACTTACTGCCACTGAGGTGAGCAAAGAATGTGTCTTGTTGATCTTTCTTTGCTTGATCTCTCACCCCATTCAACCCCACTGGATCGTGAGGAGAACTTTTAAACTTGCCGGTTCGGGTAATAACAGTGTCATAGGTTTCTAACTATCTCCTTCCTTGTTACAGCTGTCATTTCAGGAGCATGTCCCTTGCCCCGCTTGTCCTGCCACAATGGTACCTGGTTGGTGGGAGGTATATGGCTTACCATGTCTCCGGCTAAGTGAGGGGACACAAGCCTTAGGTCTGTGGGCCAGCAGGTCTGGCACTGGTGTCTGGGCCCTGCTGCCCTCCATAGGAGTGGAGAGAAAATGTAGGGTTCTGATACTTGCTCACACTGCTTACGTCTGCCCCTGGGTATCTCAAGCCTGGGGTTGTCTCTGTCTGGCCTGACATCTTTCTCAGCTGATGACATGGCCCTGCATTAGCTCTGACAAACACTGGGTGTCCCATTTCATTTGTCCCACAGCCATAGATGATGGGGTCACAGTGCCCCCTACTGCAAGCCCCCTGGGTGCATAACTGGTGATTCCAACACCAGCCACCCAGTCTCTTCTCTGGGCACATGAGAATTGTGAGACCCTTCTGGCCATCCAAGGTCAAAACAGGCACATGGTCATTAACACCAGACTCTCCTCTGCCTAAATATGCCCAACTCACATTTTATTTACTCCTATGCAGCTACAGGATGCTCCTGGTACCCTCTCAGTCCCCAGTGCTCCCATCCACCCAACACCACCCCTTGTTCTAAAGTGTGGGATCAGCTTGAGATTAATGCTATGTACCGGCTTGCTGCCTTCCTTCCCTTTCCCACAATCCACTGGCCAGAGGAGCCTGTTAAGACACTTACCCTGTGTCATAACTTCATCCATCCCAAAGTGGCATCTGTCCTGTCCCCTTTCCCGAAATCATAATGACTGATGAAGCAGAGCAAGAAAACCAGCTCGCAGACAGCAGAAAACCCAAAATATTATCCTCATGATTCTTCCTTCAAGCTTTCTAAGAAACAAACACGCCATAAAGTCATTAGTCATCGTCAAAGCCAAAAGGAAACATGGCCATTCATCTCAATGTCATTGAGTGTAAATAATCAAACACTATGATGGGACAGGAATGATTTAAGGGAAATTCTTAAAGTGACCAGATGTTAGGACTAGAAGTTGCAGAATCCTAGAGAGCATCGGGGACATTTCTGTTTTGTAGAAGAGAAAGTTGAAATGCTATAAGTTTAAATGACTTAACCTTGGTCCTAGATCCCCATGAGAGAGTAAGGACCAAAAATCACATATGCTTGACCACCAATAAAGTCAAATATAATCAGCTACACTGTTTCCAGTGGTAAACTATAGATAAAAGGAAAATCAAAACAAACAGACAAAAAGAGTATCAGGCCAAGGCCAGATACATACTCAGCATAGCTCACCAGACAAGAACAGGTGCAAACTGGGGAGCTTTGGAGTAGCCTCGGGTCTCTAGACAGTTACACACATCAAAGAAAACAGTGTGATATTGGTCCACTTGTCCAACAAATCCTTAGTAAATCTGCATTATGTACCAGGCACTATGGTATAAGTCAGGGCAGAGTAGTACAGAAGAATAAAATAGCAATCTGGGAACTAGAAGGCACAAATTCCAAGAACAAAATAAGAGAGGAGGTCATAAAGTGAGCAAGCAGTTGGATAAAAGAAAGGCAGAAACAGAAGGGAGAGTCTGGATTCCAAGCAAAATGTTTAGTCAAACCCCACACCATTTAGAAGACTGCATACTGAGTCAACCATCTGCCCCAGGCTAGAAGCTTCTGTTTGTGCTAAGGCAGGACTCTCCTGAGAAAGCATCTGTAGGAACGCATTACGGGCCACAGTTGGACGCACCGGTTCCCTCCATGCGCTCCACCCCCCAGACCCTGGTTCTCCCAACACTCATTTTCAACTTGGCTGCTTTTTCCCTCCACAAAAATAGTCACATGTACTCATTAAGCAAAGGCGTCTGGTTTGCTAAATGTCCACTTCTTCATTAGCATTATTTGGATAAAATTCTCCTCTTTCTTTCCTCTACTTTTTCTGCTCCCTATGCTCCTTGCCCCTGCAGAAGACAATGGAGAAATGAGAATAAGAACATTTTCAACTAGAATGATTCCAGCAAAAGTGGGCTTTCTAATTACAAGAAATCCTCCAAATGGCGACACAAGCTCCCCACTAAACAAGATTTTGCTTTACCGAATGGAGAGAAATGTGTCATGTAAACCATCTGCAAAGTATTTCTGACTGTAAGGTACCTAATTGTTATTCGGTACGTTAAAACAATACATCACAATGTAAATGCTACACCTAGAGACTTTTTAACTGTGCATTTTTAAAATTAACATCCACCTTGTTCCGAAAAGGATTTAAGATGGAAAGAAATACAATTACCATTTATTTGTATGTGGCTGGTTTGGTTCCATTTCATGTCCTTGAGAGTTTAGCATAGCAGGGGAGGTTCTCTAGCCTGCTTTGCATTTATTTGCAGTGCTGTCCTGTTTTATATTTTATAACCCTTAAGAAAAAAAAAATAGAGACACATCTTACAGAATTTGTATGCAGTCATTTAACGCTTTCCCTCTTTTGCTCTTTTATTCATTTGGTAATGCTTCAACATTTCCATACCCCAGAGAAAACTGTCAGTTATGATTGCTCTACCATGCTGCAGCACATGACAAGCACTTCACAGAACTAACTTACCTGTATATTCTTCCCCGTGTCAAAGCTGTTCTGATGAGATGGACGGATTCTGCTCAGAGTACTCAGCCTGGAATCCAAGCCCTCCCCATTCTGGTCTCAGAATGCTTTTCTAGCTTCACACACTGCATGCTCTGGTGACATTTGGTTTTTTTTTTTTTTTT